ATGCTACCTGATTTTAAAACTTACTATGAAGCTATGGTAATCAATATAGTGTGGATTAGCAAAAGGATAGACAGATCAATGGTGCAGCATAGAGAATCTAGAAATAGACCCACACAAACATAGCCAATGGGTTTTTGGACAAATTTGCAAAAGGAGTTAAAGACAGAATAATCTCTTCCACAGATGATGTTAGATCAGTTGGACATCTGTGTAATAAGAGAACCTCAATCTAAACCTTAAGTTTATGCAAAAATTATTTCTAAATGAATCACGCATCTAAATATGAAAAGTGAAACTATAAAAATTTTAGAAGAACACAAAGGAGAAAAGTTTTGTCACTTTGGCTTAGGCAGTGGCCCACGCCCCCACTTCAGCTCTTTGAGATTCTTTCAACGTGTGCTCCTGTTCGGTAGATAATTGATGTTTGACTTCTACCAGGTAGTTTTTATGACTAACATTTGTTGAACAGTTACTCTGATGCAGGCATTGTTCTAACTCAATCCTACAACACCCCTGAAAAATAGGTACTATCTCACTTTGGAGATGAGAAAACTGAAGCACAGAAATATTAATAAAGATGCCTAGAGTAACTTCTGTGAACCACAGAACTACAAGTGCCCTGGGCAGTCTCTTGGGAGATCACACCGTTACCCACTCAGTCTGACATTCTCACCCTGCTCATCCTGCTTGGAAACGCAAGTCACTAATATTCGTGGCTCCTGTGACCCACACTGTGTACAACTGTGTGTGTGTGTGTATGTTTGTGTGTGTGTGTGTGTGTGTGTGTGTGTGTGTGTGTGTGTGAGCTTTATTCACAGGCCCACATTGAGGCTGGCGGGCTTTCTGCCGTTGAAGCCCAGTATTAACCCACTTGAATCTATTTAGCGCCATCTTGTGTCTGTAGTGGGTTTTACTGAAAGCAGTGTTTTAGCACTAGGGCTGGGGAACAAAAGATCTAGTGGGCAAGCTTTTGATTTCCCAAATATTACCACCAATCAGTGTGATCAGAAACTTGGAACTCCACTAGATATGAACTTTCTGGTGACTTCCCTTCTGCAATGTGGTCAGTTAATAGAATCTGGGAGGGAAACAGATCATAAAGAGAAACATTCAAGTTGACCTTTAAATCTCGCTTTGCCTTCTTGTTTTGGAGCAGTGTCCTGGCTTCGTGGGCTGCCTGCAGCCCCAGAGGCCCTGAGAGGTTAGGATGAGACCTTCATTCCTGCCTTTTCAGCCCTGGGGGGAGGGCCCAAGGGATGCACCTTCCAGAGACCCAAGAGCCTGCTTGTCTCCCCTGTGCTGTTAGACAGATTTAGAAGATGCTAAAACCTGCCTGTAGATTTACCTCTTTGTTTAATTTTTTTAATTAATTTTTTTTCAATTATAGTTTACATTCAATATTATTTTATACCAGAGGCCTGGTGCACAAAATTCTGCATGGGTAGGGTCCCTAGGCCTGGTCGGTGATCAGGGCCAATCTGTGGGGCAACCAGCTGGGTGATCAGCCCGCCCCCCCTCCCTGCTGGCACCCACCTTGGCCAGCCTGGTGCCGCCTGCTTGCTGCCCCCCCCCACCACCAGTGCTGGTCACCTCCCTCTGTGGGCGACTGGCGAGGCAATCGAGGGGCCCCCACTGGCACCTGCCTTGGCTGGCCTGGGGTCTGGGGGCTGGGGGCAGCTCCTGCATTGAGCATCTGCCCCCTGGTGGTCAGTGTGCATCATAGTGACCGGTCATTGTGCCGTTTGGTCAATTTGCGTATTAGGCTTTTATTATATAGGATTAGCTTCAGGTATACTGCATAGGCAAGCACATACTTTACAAAGTGTTCCCCCTGGTATTTCTAGTATCTATCTTCTTCAACAGCGGAACTCAAATGGGAAAAGGACTGTGGTGCAAATTCCCCTTCCCTGGAGTTTCGCCAGCTTGTTTTGTAAGGGAGAGGAGGAACAAGAGGGGAGAAGGGGAAAGTGGGGCAGGATGCACTGAATTCTCAGAGCTCTTCCCTGAAGTGGAGGTGGAAGGGGTACACTGCTAGTAAAAAATTCTAAAAACCAAAAGAAAAGCATCTAACATTTTACAGTCTGATTTTGTCCCCTTTTCTATAGAGGAGGCTTACTTTTCTATTATAGAAGTGAAAGATGCTCATAATGGAAAAGTGGGTAAATAGGAAAATAACACATCCAAAGAACATATGCACAGTCATAATGCTTAATGTATCACAGGGCTTCCTTTCCTTCTGGGCATGAAGGTGTTAGTGCTTACCTGAATTATGTGATGTTTATTCATGATTTTCTACATGTTAATTCTTTTATTATAAACACTTTACAGTTAGGACATAGCTTTGGTAAATGACTGTATGCTGAGTTCCATAGCTATGATGGGTATTTAGGTGTTCGTTGATATTTTGATATTATAGATGACACTTCAGTGAGTTTGCTTCATCCCTTTTCCCCCTTTAATGTAAGGTTATTTCCTTAGTGTAGATTCCCGAAATCACATTGATGGGGGGTGGGGGCAGAGAGGACTTTCAGACTCTGAGTACCAACAAGGAGGAGCCAGACCATCCTGGCTGGGGGTGGGCTCCACCCCTTGGTAGTGGTGGGTTTGAGGCACATTCCCTCACTTTTCGGAGCCTGAGTTTTTTCCTCTGTCGGGTGGGGGTAATAATATCCACTGCACAGGAGAGCTGTTGCATTAATAACACATATTACCCCCCCTTATAGCATGGCACACAACAGGCTCTAAATTATATAGTAACTATTTTAAAAAACAATGACAGCACTAAATAGTCATATTACAGGACTTGTGCCAATTTGCCCTGCCACCAGTAATGTATGAAGTTACTTGTTTACCCTCATCAGCAATGAATAACCGAATCATTTCTTTTAAATATATCTTTGATCATTTCGGTGAAAATGCTACCTCAATATTGTTTTAGTTTGCATTTTTGTTATAGTGAGAATGAACTTCTTTGTACATTATGTGAACCAGCTTGTTGTCTCTTATGAAAAGCTTTTAGCCTTTTTTCTGTTGGCGTTTAGTATTTTCTTACCAATTTGTATGAAGTGTTTATATATAATACATCATTTAAACCTTCATCATATTTGCTGTCATCTGTCCTTTTATCTACTGTTATCTTTTTATATCAAACTTTGGTTTTCTTTATATGTGACATACATATTTCTCATTCAGATGAGAAAGTGGCTGCAATCGTGACCTCTTCATTGTAAATTCTGTAGATGAATATTTTATTGAATCTATGACAGTTCTTGCAAAAATAACAAAATTATGTATTCATTTCCAACCATCCTACATCTCATTATTTTTCATGTCATTAAATTTTCCTGAACTCTAGAGCAGTGTTAAATGATCATGGGATTAGGAGGCATCATTTTAAAATGATTCCTGATTTTAATAGGAACAGCTCAGTGTTTCACCATTAAGTAGAATATGAATCTGTTATTACAATAATTATGCTGTTTATTGTGTCAAGGATCTAAGTAATTTTTTTAAGTTTTGAGTTTTTCCATATACAGGGGCATAATTTTTTCCAGAATGATTATGCGGTTTGTTATTTGATCTTTTGTTGGGTAGGATAATAATAGCTTTCTCATATCACACATACATTTCTATGCTTGCAATTATTATATACTCACTATTTTGTGTTTTACTTTTCTCAACTAACACCATTTTATATAGACTTTCCTACAACCTACATATAAACTTGTATGTGTGTGTGATGCATAAAAGAAAGAATGTGAGCCTTGGCCCCTGTGGCTCAGTGGTTAGAGTGTTGGCCTGCACATCGAAGGGTCTTGGGTTCGATTCGTGGTCAAGAGCATGTCCCTGGGTTGCAGGTTCAATCCCCAGCCCTGTCCTGGGCATGTGCAAGAGGCAATCGATCCATGTGTCTCTCTCACATCAGTGTTTCTCTCTCTCTCTCTCCCTGTCCTCTTCTCCTCCCCTCCCTCCATTCCATTTTCTCTAAAAAAGCAATGGGAAAAATATCTTTGGGTGAGGATTAACAAAAAAGAAAAGCAAAGAAAGAATGTGAGAAAAATGCATTAATATATTAAGAATGCTTAACCTAAATTATGGGATTATGAATTATTTTTACTTCACTCCTCCATGTTTTCCAGTTTGTGATGTCCTACTGTTACCATGAAAAGAAAGTATTGCCTAACAATGTCAATGCCAGATCCATTAATTATGGGTGAAATAAGATTTAGGAGGTCAGATATGGTTTTAGGGAGCCTACTTAGTTAGAGTATGTAACTTCTGCTCATTATCTAGAGTCCAAGCTATTTTGATATGAGGGAGCTGAAAACATGGAGTTCATGTATTTTTGAAAAAGGAAATGCCATGGCTCGGATTTTCCTTTTTAACAATGGCAATATGTGGTGACTATTTTCCTTCACTAAGAATTTAGGACTTTGTGTTTGAAAAAATGATATTTTTCATGATTTCTGATATCTTAAACTGTGCAAGTCTTTAGAAGGAATTACAAATAATATTAAAATACATACATGTATCCCTTACCTAAAGGATTCAAACAGCCTCAGCTGGGGATGTTCCATAGCCTCTGGGGGCAACTAGACAGGTTGCTGTGGAAATTTCATTAGTCCTCAGGCCCCACCAGGAAGCTACAGCCCAGACACCATCTCATGGCTATCACTGCCTGTCTACTGCACACAGATATAGAAACGTCAAAACACACATTTACATATCAAGACGCAGAGAAACAGCAATCACTGCATTTGGTACCTTAATTGCATCTTCCAGGCGCCAGGAATAGCCCTTGTTTCTTCTTCTGTGATCCACACTTTTCTCTCTAAAATGAGATTTTGCTATTTTCAGAGCCCAGGCATTTTCTTCTAATTTGGTTCCTAACATACTGTGTACTTAAAGTATGAAAATCTCCATGGCCATTATGATCGTTGAAAATTATATTTACACATAAAACCATAATGTCTCCTTGCTTCTTTTTCTCTCCTCTGTAGCTCTGGGCCAGATTATGTTGTATGTGGATGGGATGAACGGAGTAATAAACCACAATGAAACCATTCAGTGGCTGTACACTCTCATCGGGTCAAAGGTAAGAGAAGGTTCAGGTTGAACATGTCATTCAGTTTCAGTATCATCTGCCTTTTTCTGTTACCCTGTCTGAGATGCTTTTGCAGAAAGGAATCCTTTTTGGCTTGGTTCTAGCCCTGTCACAATACAAATGAGGACTCCTATTTTATAGATTTAAAAATACACTCAAATGGCAAGAGTTTACGACTCTTTAATGCATTTTATGTTTTCTTCTTTTAAATTTAATCAAATGCTTTTGGCGCCTCTTGTTTTTAATGATTAATTTAAAAACTATACCATCACCTGGCTGGAGTGGCTCAGTTGGCTGAGCATTGTCCTGTGCACCAAAGTGTTGCCAGTTTGATTCCCAGTCAGGCCAGATGCCTGGGTTGCAGGTTCGATCCCTGTTTGGGGCATGTACAGAAGTCAACCAATGGATGTTTCTCTTTCTCTCTCTCCTCCTTCCCTCTCTAAGCATATCCTCAGGTGAGGATTAAAAAATATGTAATAAAATAAAATAAAAACTATACCATAGAAACAGTATCAATCTTACCTGCTGTATTTCATATTCAGATACTTAAGCACATATGTATGGGTTGTACTGATGTGTATGCGTGTTCCTATATATAGATGAAAGAATTTGAGACTGTCTTTCAACTCCGCCATTCACTATGAAAGTAGCCAACATTCATTAAATATTTACCAGGTAGCAGGCATGGTAAAAATGCTTTGCAAACATTATCTCCTAAAAGGTAAATGATTTTATTCCCATTTTTTAGTTGAGGAAATAATGCTTAGTTATGAGAATCTATCTGATTTCCTGCATGGATATTGACATGTGTCTGCCCCGCCATGCCTTGGCCATGATGCCCTCATACTCTGGGAGTGTGAGGCTAAGGAGGCAGCTCCATCCTGTCACTGTGTGTCCTGGCAGCTGGGTGAGGCTCTGGCATCGTCCTCTCTGGTTCTCAGGTGGGGCCATGAGGTGTCTAGTTGGAGGAGGAACTTGGAAGAAGGAGGAAGAAGGGATCCAGCTCCGAGCAGGTGCAAATGAACCAAGGCTGGAGTGTGGTCAGCTTTGGGGCAAGGGTGGGTGGGGCACCATGGAGGAGATCACGGTGACCATAGTGGGCATCAGGGTTAGGCAGAGGAGGGTCTCGGGATTCCAAAAGCTAGGGAGAGGGCGCAGGCTTTGCAATAAAAATGGACTCTTGATACATGTCATGGCTGAATTAAGACATCTTTATAGCTTTATTACGGTCGTGATAAAACACCAACGGTCAGCCCTGTTTCGAACAGGAAATAAAACTCAGCGTGCTTATGGTAGGAAAAGTGGCAGTCTTTCAGCCGATCACTAGGGATGGGAGGGAGAAGAGATACTGAGAGGAAAGATACGGAGGAGAGAAGGAGGGGGATGGGAAAAGATGAGAGGAGAAACCTCAGGGAGGAAAAGAAAAAGAGGAGATGAGCAAAAGGAAACGGCCTCAGGCCTGCATCTGTCTGCTCAGTAGACGGGGGAAGACTCAGCCAAGGTCTGCAGCAGCATCCTGTCCATTTTCATTTGGAATCATCTGTAAGGAAAACAAACCACCAAACGGCGCACGTGGGAAAATTCCTTACTGCATTTCTAAATACCATGGAGAAACCATCAAATTAAAAGCCCTCAAGAATGAGAATGTAGGAATTCTGGGCCCCAGCCCCCTTTGCTGGGTAGCACACGCAGTGGTGGGGACCCTGGGCGTCTGTTCTCGGGGCCTCTGCTGAGCTGGGCATTTGCTTCCTCACTGGGGGCATCGTCTCCAGATCAGTGCTGCTCTTTCCTCCATCTGTCATTCTCCCAAAGGAAGGTCCATAGTGGTCTCTGGCTCCTGTGTTCACACTGGGCCGGTCACTGTGAAGGTGAGAAAATAGAGCCACAGGGCAGCCTAAGCCTCGCAGCCATGGTGCTAGAAAGGGGATGGACTGACCCTGGGCGATGCCCCGCAGCCCACGCGCACTCATTGTGACATCCGATGACCCTGCAGGCTGTGCTCAGTTTCAGACCAGTGGCCAAAAGTCAACAGCGCCAGCAGCCACCAAGTTTGTTTTCCGTGCAATTCTAACACGATCACCTCTTATTTACAAAACCAACCCAGTGTCCCCTGACACTCCCCATCACCCCATATCTAGATGGTGAGGAATCTGCAAGCAGAAAGGATGCCCTAACCTACACTTACAGGTTTTGAGAAGGAAGCCTTAGTTCCTTAAACATACACACTGGCCGATAGGGCCACAGAGCTTCTCCCAGTTCAAATAAAATTAAGGCGGGAGAGCCAGGGGCCCTTAGGGCTTTCTTTTGACTAAGAGTTGAGTTCTCAGTACCTAAAAGGTTTGCCTTGAGATCCTGTGGTTTTTACCTTAAACAGGCACAGAGTTGATACTGAAGTCCTGGGTTAGGGAAACCTTGCCATCCTGTCTTCATAACCTTCCTTTTTCCTTCCATGAAAGGCAACACGATGTGATGCTGCCATCAGGCCTGCCAGAGGGTCATTGTGCAACACATATTTGCAGATATTTGAGACACAGAGTCAGAGGACAGAATGATGTATTTGCTGCCAAATAATTACTTTTTAAAAGAAAGAAAAAGTGTTTTCAATAAAGGGCTTTAGTCTGTTTACCAAAGTCCATCTTTAAACCCCAGTCAGAGGTAAGAAGCAGTGGTCCACCCTGTGACTTCTCACATGGTGTGAATTTTTCCTCTTCATGCATATGGAAGTCTCATTAATTGGGATAAGATGATTCAGCTTATACAGCACAGCCTTTTGTCACTCTGACAGAGCCTCTGTCTCTCGTGACCGTATGGATCCCCTTCTGGCCCATGGGGGAGGCCCCAGGGACCCCTAGCTCCTTGTGGGTTCCCCAGGATGCCTCCTGTTGTGGTCATGGAGTCTGCCCTATCTGTGGTGCTGTCCACCTTGGCTTGCTCTATTCTCTCCAGTTCTCTGTCAGCCCCACTGAATCAATTCTTCCAGCGGTGCCCTAGGTTGCTGACCACAGATCTCTAGATAGCGTTGGTACTTGTGTGGTGTTGGTCATGCTTCCCTACTCCTCCCAGAACAGCTACTAAACCTGATCTGAGGGGAGTCCTGGCCACAGTCCCCCTTTCACACACACACACACACACACACTCTTACACACATGAGAGGGCCATTCCCCCCCCCCTCTCTCTCTCACACACACACACACACACACACACACACACACACACGGGGACACTATAAGATGATGAGGATGATTAGTAGTGCGTGGTGTGTAGAATAGAGTGGTGGAGGGGGAGAAATTGACAGGGATGGGAGGCTAAGGGCTAGTGTAGTATCAATGCTGGGAGGTGATGAGGCCTGGTCAAGAGTTGAGGTGGAAACAGAATATTGGAAATATGGAGACATTTTGAGGAATAACTTCTTAGGACTGGGTTTCTGGACATGGAAAAATAAAAGCAGGAATCAAAGATCGGGGGGAATACAGTTTTGAATCTGGGCAGCTAGGAATGCAGCATTGCTTCTGGTAGGAGAAAGAAGTGGAAATTGAGGTTCCTTGGCAGGAAAGCTCTGATAGGCTGGTTTTGAGATGAAGGCAATGTCCCCAAGGACAGCTTAGCAGATGCCCCCAAGGTGCCAGGTACTTCAGTAAGTGCTGGCTGGCGAGCCCTTTAACCTCAGAGTTGTCAGCATGTCACTGCTGTGTGAGGCACATGACCCACCTGTGTGTGAGATCTGAAGTGCTTTTTGAGTTACATAAGATAAAATCACAAAATTCCAGTCTTGAAGAGGTGGCAAGGTCTTGTCAAAGATGTTCCTGACATTCACCAGCCACATTCCTGATACTTCCAACAGCCATAGTTGGGCACTGGAATTGGTGGAAAGCCTTCCTCATCTGGACCTGCCTCTACCTCTCTGTCATCAGCCAAACGCAGTGCTCTGCTTTCTGAAGCAGCACACACTCACTACTCCATGGAAGTTGAATTTTCAAAGGCAGTATGTCACCCTGTCCAAGAGGCTCCTTGTTCCATAGACAGATCTCCAGAAACAGGAGTAGCAGGTGAGGGTTTGACCCTTCTGCCCTACTAGGGCAGGTGGCCAAGTCAAGGACTAGCATCTGTGCTCTAGCAGCTGGAAAACGAATAGGGACAAGGGGTTCTAATACAGAAGAACATTTGAGGTGATGTGAAAACCCCGGAGTATTTCATGGGCTGTTCCCCGCAAAGAGATGTTCTAGGACAGTGGTCGGCAAACTCATTAGTCAACAGAGCCAAATATCAACAGTACAATGATTGAAATTTCTTTTGAGAGCCAAATTTTTTTAACTTAAACTATATAGGTAGGTACATTGTTATTAACTTAATTAGGGTACTCCTAAGCTGGCCTTTGCTAAAAACGTCTTCAATCTGATTGAGGTACATTCGCTGAGGTCGACCCCTTCCAACTCTCCCATCCACACTCGTCTTGTATACTTGTTTCGTCTATCTCCTTTCGTTCATCCTCTCTATATGTCCAAACCATCTCAACATACCTTTCTCAATCCTTGCACTACATCTTCTTTCACTCCACAACATTCCCTAAAATTAACTTAATAAACTGTACTTAAAGTTTTAAGTCAACTTCGCACTGTACGTGCGCGCCCACACGTGGTATTTCGTGGAAGAGCCACACTCAAGGGGCCAAAGAGCCTCATGTGGCTCGCGAGCCGTGGTTTGCTGACCACTGTTCTAGGAGGAATGAATGGACAGTAGGCCCAGAAGCAGAGGCTTCTGGGAGCAGGCCTGGAAGTAGCCCTGCACGCTCAGGGTTGCCTTTGCCAGGCTGCTGACTGCCATCCCCGGGCCTCTGTCCACCTGCCAGCACTCACCTGCCCACCCTCCTCCATCCACTCTAAGGAGATGTGAGCTGGATGCCAAACTCTTGCTAACAGGGCATTCACCACACCTGAGGCTCAGGTGTTGTCCACTTTCATGTTTCTAGGGCTGGTATTTACTTAAGAAAGTTA